ATGTGTGTTCTACTTGTCAGGCAAGGGGAAATTTCGCGGTGTCCGGCACTGGGCAGGCTGGTCAGATGACTTCTATATCGACAGCCCGTACAGATAGAGTCCTCCAGCCCGCGGCAAAATCAGGCCTGAGCCAAGTAACTTACGGATGCACAGACGGCAAAACTGTCTCTTGCCAGGTCGGCACTACACTCATTCCTACCGTAGTACAAGTTGCTGATATGGACATGACTGTCAGCGACCCTGGGATGGTGAAAAGTCTGGGCCTACGTCCAAACGCTGTCCTGTGTCCGTCTACAGTCGAGCTCGAGTCTAAGCTAACGGAGACCTCGGGCATTCGCGTAATGGATATTCGTGATGTTAAAGAGGTCGGCATCAGTTTTGGAAAAGTCACCGGTAAAGCCAGTCTCCAGGATCGAGACCGGGGCGTCAGAGGATTGGCGGCCACATATGAACCACCCGAGTCCTGTTATGTTCAATTCAAATCACGACAGGTGCCCAATCTGGTGGGCTCTGAAGTGGCAGCACCGCACATGAGCTCAGACAGAAGTGTAGCCCTGGGCAAACGAATCGACCACAATGCCGGCTGCACTTTCCGTGTTCGTGAACTGACTCAAACCAATGTTCCAGAACACTTCAGCCAAATCACACTCACTAGCCCCAGCGTAATTTCTCAATCCTCTTGGCAAAGGGACACGTACCAAGTGGTGCCAACTCCGAACAGGCCTCTTCGCCCACCGACCCAATCAGCCACTTGCCAGGTTGGTCTGGTCCTGGAACCTACCCTCCTAAGTGTCCCCGGTAAGGTCAGTGCTGGGCACATGAACACCACCTCCGGGCCCGGTCTGCAGCCCTCTCGGTTGGAGTTAAGTGCTCGGCTTGCTGAAGTTCCCGGTGTGCAGCTGACTTCACTTAGTGACACACCCAACATGACCTTCCAAGTGGGTAATCAAAGGTACCTCGCTGCGGTGGAGGTCTGTGACTCGGTTAAACGCGATCTGAGCAAATTTGGCGGAATGCAACGCTCGCTGACAGAGACCTGGACTCGACCAACGTCCAAATTTTCATCCCTTGGCGCTGATAACACGGCTAAGCTGACAACCGGCCAGTTCAGTGGTGACCGAGAAGGCATTCGGTTGTCCATTGAAATCCCGAACATTGCTCCCCAGCCACTGAAGCAGCAGCAAGTGGGTAAGGCAAATGCTTGGGGGAACAGTCCCAAAGGTTACACCACCAACACCTCCGAAACCATTCTCGAAGTAACTGGTCTGACGAACGTAGGCAGAAGAGTAAGACTTAGGATTCCCGTCGACCTAACAGAAATCCTGCCTACAGTTGACGTGTCTGTCAATGCAAGCGCACCAAAACAAGACTTTCTGGGTGGTTCTGGTATTCCAAAAACCTATGGAAAGCTCTGTGATGTCGCCTGCGAAGCTTTGATCATACCGGACACGCTTGAGAAACGTGTTCAGACGATGGCCTGAAACCACTCACCGATCCTACGCTTGGCCGAATATTCCTATTCGTTCTAACTCCTCTACCACTTGGTTCCTCAAATCAGACTCCATATCTGTCCGTACTTAAACACACATACAAGTACCGACCTATGCCATTCACTCCACCTATGCTGACTACTCTAGCCTTCTTCTTGTTAAGCCTCCCTGCAGCCTGTGAGCGGTGCCTTACATTTGACTTGCGATCAGTTTTACTTAAACGTTGAGTGTATTTGAGATATAATATGAATTATTTTATAAACGTCTTATTTTGCGTTTCATATTTGACTTTGATAGGCTGGGATTAGTATTTACTAGCGCGGAAGCCCGGCTTCGCCTTGGGCTTCCTTACATGTTGTT